CCCCGACTCATGTGGCTTGGCAGGTAGGCAGCTTGCAGACATGTTTTTATCTTCAACCAATTTAGGAATTTAGTGAGGAAGTACTGTCGGAGTTGGAAAGAGTGAGAACATATTTTAATGATGTAAATTCACGTTGATGGTTTATCGGTGATTTCTGATTGTTATTAGATCCTTTCGAGGTGGGCGTCGTGGATGGAGGATCTCCTCGGTGAGGCAGCTGTGGTTGCCGATCCGAAGGTACACCCGAAGTACAGGAAATCCTGTGCGGAAATCTACTTAGAGTTGAACGAGTTATGCAACTTTGTCCGCCTCAATTCGGAGGTAGTGCTTGGCCTACCGAGGTTAGCTTATGTCTGCTGATAGGGCGCCAGAAAGCTTGTGAAAAAATTCGACAAGTTCCACGGTACTGCGCACCGTGCTGAGTTCCTCGTCGGCTGTGCAGCTCTCTGTGAGATGACCGATATGGTCCAAACGGAAGTCTTGCCTATGATAAACTCCATTCAGAAGAGGTCACTGTTCTTCTATATCTTGTCGGTTGTTGTTATTCCTCGTTTTCATAGTTATGCTGCGAGCTTCTGTGGTGGTGATAAGGCAACTGCTGTGGACGAGTTGTCTCAAGCATTATCAGAGATGTTGGTTTGGGACCGCGGTACGGTATGGCATGATTTAATAAGGCTCGAGAGGTAAGGGGAAACGGTTGTATCAAATATTCTCAGGACAATAGTTTACATGTGTAAATCTGTTTGTAAACTCGACTAAACTCGGCTGATCATCCAACTTGCAACGAGTCAGTAATCCTGCCTAATACAGGACACTTCCCCTGGCCTGGGGGGGTCCTCATAGAAAGGAGTGTATTCGTATCCGTCTCGAACTATGTTATGATAACATCCATAGTTATATAGACTCCATAGATGTGGGCGTCAGGACCATCGAAGTCACAACGTAGGCTGATGACACTATGTATACCTCCTCGACACGATCATTATGTATGCCCCAACCGTGTTGTTAACCCATTGATCGATATCCGCGATAGGCAGAGTGGTAACACCCCCTCACTAGATGTTGAATCCAACATAGGGGGGCACCGCCGCGCTGAGCTGCTACTGCTGAGCCGTATCTCTGTGATCGACTACTCGCGTAGAGACAGTTCGCGCTGATCAACGCGAATTGAGTCGGCAGCGAGGGGAGTTAACGTCATCATCTATACGCTTGAAAACTCACCAGCTATTGTAACATCCAAGCTCTTTACGAGTGATACGTTGTTAAATCAACAATTCGATAAGTAGTTCAATATTGTTATATACAATAGACGATTCATCACTCATCATCAGTAGTGAAGGCGAATTGCTGTTGTACGACGATCCTGTTGACCTCATATCCACGTGGCGCCTGCTAAGCTCTCCGATCATTCCGACCTTTTCAGGCGAAGGTCTAGGCTAGGCATCGCCTCTGGTAGCGTACAAATCCGGTCGACTCAACGTCGCGAGTCCACTTTACAACGTTCATCTTCACTTACCCCCGAACAGGATAAGGCGCGCAGCTCGTTAGTAACCCCATTGTGTGCGTCAGTGGAGCTCAAGCAGCTACCTCAACGCGGTTGTTGGGGTTATATTAGAGACTATTGGCTCCCAATTGTGGTTTATACAATCGTTTTTGCGGTTTTTTTATTAATTTTGCTGTTGGACATTCCTCGATTTGCAACATCAGCAGCACGATGCCTCGCACTATTGTGG